CTTGGGGGGGGCTTATGTGGGGACGTTGGGGTCATCTGGGGGCTCTGTGGGGTGATTTGGGTCTTCTATGGGGCGCCCGGCCAGTTGGGTGCCCCATTTGGGGACATTGGGGTCACCTGGGTCCTCTCTGTGGGGACATTGGGGTCATCTGGGTCCTCTATGGGGTGACTTGGTCCCTCTATGGGGTGACTTTGACCCCTCTATGGGGCACCTGGCCATTCGTGTCCCCGGTTTGGGGACATTGGGATCATCTGGGTCCTCTATGGGGTGAGTTTGGGTCTTCTATGGGGCGCCCAGACACCCGGGGTCCCTTATCTGGGGACATTGGGTTCATCTGGGTGCTCTATGGGGTGACTTGGTCCCTCTATGGGGGCACGATGACGGAGGCCGACGGGCGCCCGTAGGCGATGACGGACTCGGGTCTGGGTGAGGAGAAGGTGCCACCATCACCGGGAGGCAACGGGGGAGGCGGCAGCGGCGGCGGCGGCGGTGGTGGCATCTTCGCCACGTTGCCCGCGGTGGTGGTGACCAAGAGGCCGTCGGCCATCAAGCCACCTTGGCTGTAGGTCTTGTAGGGTCTTTTGGTGGCCGCCCCACCCCGGGCGGGCAACAAGCGGTAGAGTTTGAGGGCGTTGAGTTTGGGTTTGTAACCGCCGTTGGGGGTCTTCTCGGAGGAGATGAGGGCGGGGTTGATGCCGTGGGCGGCTTTTTGGTGGGTCTTGAGGTTGTAGTAGGTGACGAAGGTGTCCCAGCAGAAGACGCACTGGTAGCGCCGTTCCCCCGTGTGCCACACCTCGTGTTTGGTGCGATACTCGGCCAAGGCGAAGACCTTGTCGCAGTACCGGCACGGGTACTTGCGGCGCCAGGAGTGGACGTTGGCGTGACGTTTGAGGCTGGAGAGGGTGACGTAGGAACGGTGGCAAACGCCGCAAAGGTAGACCAGGTGGCCGTCCACCATCTTGACCAACGCTTCTTCTTCTTCTTCTCCTCCTTCTCCTCCTCCTCCTCCTCCCAAGGCGCGATGGCGGAGGAGGAAGGCTTTTTTGCCTTGTTT